AACTAATAACAAAAACTACAAAAAATCTAAGAAAAATCAACAACTCTAACTATCTTAGAAACAACAATTAAACTCCTCAAAAACTCAGAAATCTCCTAGAACAACAATAACATCTTAATTTCCTAAAAAAAACATCTTATCCTAAATTTCTATCTTATCTTCTTTTCCTTGATACGGTATTCCACCGTCCTTTAGGCATATTATTACTCTCCTTCTTAATAATGCCCTTTACTCCACGTGGAAAGTCCACGTGGATTCCTCGGTTATATCCTAGTTTACAGAAGTCCAGAAAACAGTCTTTTTTTATGATGATCTCGGTATGTTTTTTTTCATTATGGATACTTATCATCATTTTCTTACAGATTATCATACTGAAGAATGGCCAGGAAAAAGTCAATTTGGAACTTTTTTCTGATGGTGCCATTCCTGAAAAGCTAATGTTTGCTTTCCTGCTTTCAGAAGGAACACCTATAACTCTTTATAAGAATGGAAATTTGTTCCCGTAAGTTCTCATTGTATAAATTCATGGTTGCATTATGTGTTCCAATTCGTTTAGTACCCAGAGTGGTGTGATCCAGTTAGAAGATTATGTTGAAAACCATGTTTGCGATGTCAAGTTCCGGGGGCAAGAAAATCATATTTCTGGATCTGATGGCAGATGATTTTGATGATTATAACGTTTTTTTTTTAATATTGTTTATTAAGAACATTAAGAACATGTCTATGATTCAGATTGAAATAAATACATTTTGAAGATAACCTTTCACATCGATTAAGGTGTACCCGTACAACATCAAGCGAAAGCTATGAATTGGGTATGGTTTCGGTTTCTCACCGTTAAGTTATTATTAATATTATTACTACTTCTGCCATGTTAAAAAGCTGGATATTCCCTAACCCTGGAACAAGTCCGCATCATCATTCCACCAATCACAGTTGTTTCCTAAATGATGGAGCACATATCCCAGCTCATGGAAGAAATCTCTCTCAGAATATTCCTAAATCTCTTTTCAGGTACTAAGTAGTGTTCGGTCTACCTTATTCACTGTAACTGCCATTGAGAGACTGTTATCTAGTCTCACAAGCATTGCTGCACTTCCTGGCATCCTACCATCGTGTTGCCAACCATTGAAGCCCATTATATTAAGTGACCATCCAAGTCCTAGGAATACTTATTAAACCACTATCATTTTGAGCAAACCATAAGTGTCATTTGAAGCAATGGAAGGTATAGCCCACTCCCTGATTGATTCCTCACTCAGAATGTCCGGTCTCATTGGAAAACCATCAACTCTTGTCTATACTGTTTTTTTTTCACAAAAAGAGTAATATTCCTTGCCATAAACATGAGTAGTTGAATAGGACTTGCGATCCAACCTCCCCAAGGTCCGATACGGTCTGGAGGTAACATCTCGTAAGGATTAAAACCTATCCCGTTTCCACTCATGTAATACAATACTTCTCTCCTGGAAATTCAAGTCAGTGGTTAGGTAATAGACCAGTTCTATCTGTATTGGTAACATATACAGAACGGTTGCATCCAAAACTCACGGGGCTCGGTCACTTATTGTTGGTCGAGCAACCTGAATATCGAAAACACCAGCTGGATTGAAGATATTTTTCTTGACGAAATTTTCATAGCTCAGCTTGGAGAAGTGTTCGACGATGAAACCTTAACTATGTTGGATTCTTGCAGATGATGTTAACTAACCAAGACATTGATAACCGAAGTTTGAATAAATCCACATAGTACCAGGTTTATATTCCAGAGGAACATTCTCCAGAACATATTTCATCAGTTCCTTCGTTGTCATCTGGGGTTGTATCCATGCAGCGTCAGAAGCTAAGTTATCCCAACCACCTTGATATAAGAAATGAATAAGCGGATCATGAAATGAAAACCTGAGGAATGTTCTAGTAAGTTTCTCACTGTGACATCAGTTACATATCTCTTGTAAGATCTAATTGTGGGGAATTCACTCCCTGAAGCAGATTTCACAAAAAATTATATCTACTCAACTCACCGAGAATGCCTGCTTTGCCCCAAACTTTATCATCTAAGTTGAACATGCCTTGATCTATAAGAAGCATCACACTGGAAGCTGTCACTGGCTTTGATACTGATCCAACTCTGATAATAACACGTTGTTGACAGATTTCTATAACAGTTCTACCTGAACTGATGGTTTGGTGTAACAACTTCTTCCTCTCTAACATCGGCATATCCGAACCCTAGAAAAGCAAGTTGAATGTAATAATCTTCCTCAGAAAATACCAGCAGCAAACTTCAGTTTTTCTTGTTTTGAGATGGCTATTGAAAGACCCGGAATGTTCAAGTCTTTCATGAAATGTTCCACTCGGCGAACTAAGAAATCCATCTGATTTTCTTTCAGTAATTCTGGAGAGCCTTTCAAATATCGAACAGGAATTTGCCTCAATAAGCTATGTTTTCAGCATTCCCCATCTTAGTACATACTTTTCCTCCCAAATCGGAGGCGGGTTTGGGTACCGATTACTGTTTACATCACTCCACAATACAACATACTGGAGCTGACCGAAAGAATCTAAGTAGTGCGATATCTGTCTTGGAATCATCCGCGGTTCGCGTTGATAACTTCTTAATTGATACAACTCGATGACAGAACTTTGATTTTTGCTCAAACCTGTACATTGCTTGCAGATCAGTTCCACGAGCTATGTTACTCCTGTGACCTGGTCTGTTCTCCCAAATACCGGTGCATAAGACCTATAAGTTAGTATTCAGCCTATCCGATTTGAAGTCCCCTATCACTGTCTGCATTCACACTCATGCCGTAATGAAACACTTTCATCAAGACTTGAAGAAAAAACCGCTTTTTAAAATATCATCGGCAGCTCTCAATGACATATTTCCGGTTGTTGACGAATTTTCGACCGTTTTTCAGCGAGACTTCTAGCGTTCTTTCTTCTTTCTCGCCGGAGGCTTGCTCATAGACTCTTTCTCTCGTCCTATGTCCTCACTGTGTGTATCAAAAGGATAGTTTGTGCGAGCATTGCTATATTTGCCTTTGTTCAAAAGGACATGATACATGGAACAGCCTAGCATTGGCTAGCCTTTCTTTGAAGATTTTCCATTATAATGGATACAACTACATTATTTCAGTCATCGGAGCCATCCATCCAAACAAACAGATTATTACAGTCGTCTATTTTTGAAGACGTTTTTGTTTGATATTTCACGAACCTGTCGGCGATTGCTGAAAACGCGGAAAGAGATGGCTACATAACCCCGTTGGGTTAACAATTTGTCTTTCTGCATACAAGCTTCGAAGGTGAGCCCATAATGAGCTTCATATTGAGTTTTCGAACTCATGGAGGGCTTTTGCCAAATTCCAATGTATCTTCAAGCAATGAATCAATATTTCTTTTCTCGAATCAGTATTACTTTCCCTTTCCTGCTTCCGACCATCCACAAAGATAAGTTAATCGGAATCCATTCTTTTCGAAGTACTGGCGCTGCGTTTCCGAATGAGGAGATCCAGGGAACCAGATCTGAAACCGAAAGTTTGAACCTTCATATGAATAATGTGATGCCTGTGTTTCAGTTCCCGGAACTTTTTCCCAGTACGTAGTATAAGTAACAGTTCCAGGAGTTTCCTCTTGCCCGCAAACTTGGGTTAGAGCAAGATCTCTCATTTCATTTTCTCTAAAATTAAAGACACATATCTCAAAAAACAAAAATGATTACTTACCGCACTGATTTAACAAGATCATCGTATGACATTGGTCCTGGTTTGATAAAAACTGGGCCTGTGTACTTATGCATAATCGCATAATAATTAACACCTAGTAAAGGAGTTGAAACATATTTGAGCGATAATTATATCACCTCCATTTGCCAAGTAATACCCCATGGAAATTAAACGACCACCGTAGTTTAGTGATATAGCCAATACATTATCAACCAAGCTTTCATTTCCTGAATAAGTTGATGAGGTTTAATAAAGATTGATGATAGAAACCAGCAGTTAAAACCCAATCTTGTTCATTCGGTGCCGGAGGATGTACAACCTTCATAAGTATAATTTAGAACAAATGAATACTGTGAACTCAACCTGTAAGCTGTTCCTGGCTCCAGCGGTGAAGCCGCCTTGTATGGAGTCCATTCCTGAATTAATCTTTAAACCAAAAGTTCTGAGATTGAAAAAAAAACCAGGAGAAGAATCACTGTACTGTCCGAAAGGTGTTTTCAACATGGAGCGAGTTCCATTGAGACTATCTAAAACTCGTTGGGGAGCTGTATAAGGATAGCTTAAATAGACTTTTTCTCATCAAGAAGGTCAATGTGAAATGACTTACGCATGTATGGTAGGACTCCGGAGGTAATGTTGAGTAACAACATTTAAATAATTATATTCAGCTAAACTATAAGTTACACAAAAGCTAATACAGTAAATGATAATTCGCATGATGGTTACTGCCCAAATTTCTGTTGTTTCTGAGATAACAACGAAATGGCGTTAGAATTGGAAGCAGCCGTTATTCAACTACTCTGAGGCACCAAGGAAAGGCGGACATATCCAGCTTTTGACCACACCTACGACTGAAACACTCGATAAACAAACATGCCTCGTTCTCTCTTTGTTGTCTACATTTTCGACAGATTGAAAATGTGCGAAGAGAAAAAAATATCTGAACTTACTGATTTCTTCTTCATCTTCAAATCACCAAAAACTACAAAGAATAGGGTGTTGTGTAAAATAGCGATGGTCTCTATATTATTGTTTCGAATGAGTCCATTATCCAAACAAACATTATGAAAGGAGACGAGGCGCTTAGAAACTTCTGAAACAAACAGAAAAAAAAGGTTAAGCTCCTGATAGCGAAAAAGAAAATTGAAAAAAAAATTCGATGACCAAAGGACTTTTCTGTTATGTCAGGTTTCTCTTTGACTTTGCTAAAGGGCTTCATGGAAATTTTCCAGTCTTCGAAAAACTTATATTGAACCCATGAGCACAGAGAGTATTTTTACTGAAAGAAAAACCTTTAACAAATAACGATAGAAGGCATCGATTTAATGTCTTACAAAAAGTTTTTTTGTAGTTTATTGCATTTTTTCTATATTTGAATGACTCTTTCGAAAAAATTACTTTACGCGCGCATGATGGGTGCTCCAACAGAAAAATTAAAACGTTGAGTTCGAATTGTCACTTTTAATTTTTTGATACTCTTTCTAAGTCCTGATTACAGAGAGAGATTCTTGGCTAGTGTTTCCATTGACTCTGGAGACTCGGGAGGCCCAATGTATGCATATAACCGTGCACTAATAGGGATAATGGTGTCGTCAACCACCACGACGCCAAGCCTGAAGCCTGACTTCGATTGCGACGAAGTTAACGGCGAGATCGCAGATGCGTCGGCACATCCCGCTGATTCTTTGATTGTCCCGGCTGCAATCATTTGGGAAATGTACCAAGTGAGTTTTCCTTAAAGTGACCCATTGAATGAAATTTTCTATTCAGAACTACTTGGTTTCCAATGGGTACGTGCAACCTCTTCATCCAAGAAGACGACCTTCAAAAAGGAAATTATGAAGACGCAGCTCGAGCACACGCAACGCGTTTTGTTTGTGTTTTGGCGCCATTTTAGTTGTTGTTAGAACGATATTTTGTATAGTTTGTGTTATTAATAAAATATTCCAAGTAAACATGTCTTATTTCCTTCTTTCTAGAATTTGAAATTAACCTGATCATTCAGATATTTGATTCTCTTCCTGATTTTGAGCCAAAGAATGGAATCAGTACGTTTTTTCAACGCAATGTTATTTTATAATCTGCTTACAGATAATAATTCTGAAAAATGGAAAAACAGAGGTTAAAGTGAGAATAAACTCTCATGAAATTCACCAAGATCATGTACGAGCTGCTTTTCTTCTTGACAACAAAACTCCTTTCGCTCTATACGAGGATGATGTGATGTTATGGTGAGTTCATTCTGATTCCATGTTTATCTGCAACAAGTAATTATTTCAACTTGTTCAGTCCCGTTTCCTCTGTTTATAAACTAGGAGATCAGTGTGAGAATAAGATTTTCAAAGTGAAGTTTGTGGGAGGCGATAATGAAGAAGCTAGCACCTCAGAAGATGAAGGTAATATTAACAAAATGAACAATTAAAATGACTCATCCAAATTTCAGTTGATCTGGCTGGGGAGTTGCAGGAGAGGCTTTTCATGTAAGTAGAGAAAGCTGTGATGTCTTTGGATTTGTCTTTCTATGGTTTCATCAATATTATACTTTCCTCATTTTGTCTCTATATCACCCTGTATTTTATACTTTCATGGAATGACGTTTAGTCTCACTTCCTCTCGGGTAAATCTTCAAGAAGGGTAGTGAAGCTTGTCGGCTACCCCCAGTTCAGCCATTTGATGCTTTTATATCAGCTCTCGTTCTCGTGTCATTTTGTCTTTTATCTCATGAAAAAATTCGATTTCAATGTTCATTCATTATTTTCTGCCTCATAATTTCAGTGAAAATGATGTAGATGTTGAGCTTCTGGTCGAAAAGGTACAATGTTGAATCTTGAAGATCAGGGAAAACGTAGCCTTCTCTTTGCAAATCCATTTTTTTCATTTTGAACGTTCCTAGATAAAACTTGTTCAGAAAATAAGTAATTGAACGAAAATCACCGGTTGTTTGTATGAATGGTACGAATCGTATGAACAGGGGCTTTGCATAGGATGGTAACGTACTTACCAAAGCTTCAATTTTTTTAATAATTTCGGGAGGTTTGTACTCTGGTTGTAAAGCGATAGCCGCCATGCCTGCTTTTCCTTCACAACCTACACATCTTTGTCTTATTTTTATTCATGAGTGAGTATTCATTTTGACAGTACCTGGAATTTCCACTCCATAAACAGTGCACTCTTGAATCTCTCTCATGCCGATTAATACTGCTTCGATTTCAGTTGTGGAAACATTTTCACCTTTCCATCTGTTATCTTCGTCATTGTCAGATACTCTTATTGACTTGCCTGAAGGTATCCCCCATCCGATCACGAAAGTATGTATAACCGTATTCATCCCAATACAGTAAATCACCTTAGGAAACTATGTGTAATGAAGTTATGATGTGTTAAACATACCAGAAATAAAAACAGGGTCAGCTCCTTTTAATGGCTCGCGTATTATCTTTTTCTCTGTTTCTTCCCTATTCACATATCCTTCAAAATGAAGAATAGGATTGTTCTTGCGGATAGAACATGCCATAGCTCCTACTTCACCTGCACAGAAGAAGGTTAAACACACGAAATTGCCCATACCTGGTTCTATGGGAATCAAGTAACCATTAGAATCCTTCATAAGTTCCCCGCTTCCCTCATCTACTTTGAACAAGCGTATGGGATACAACGGTCTCAATAATCCCAGAATAGTCATGAACCCGCAAGCTCCCTCTTTTCCATCAATGTTCACTGAGCCGAAAAAACGATTTGCTTGTAGAACCAACTAGCTGACCTAGATTCGAAGTTCCTTCTGTCGATCCATAGAATTCAACTATGCGTTTGATAGCGAAACGATCTTGGAATTTCCTCCATATTGCAGGTCTGCGAATCAAGTAGTAGAAAGAAAGTCAATATTACTCCTGAACCTCAATCCATTGCCAACGAACCGCGAGAGTTTGTGCTTGTTTTCAAATTCGTCTGGTTCACGGACCAACAAGTATCTCAACAATTCGCCTATGTATATGGCAACCTATAGGTTTTACTCTATTTTTGATTCATTTTTCCAAATCTTTACTGTGCAATCGTTCAGATAGCAATCTTTCCAAAAATTTGTGGCCGAGAAACGTGATCGTATTACGCAGGTCGTCCCGTTGACAATTGTTTGACCAATTCCTAACAAGGAAACTGTGCATTGAGGAATAAAAAAAAACCTAGAACGCCAGCTGAAGAATGATACATAGGAAGACAAATGTAAACACGATCTTTAGTGGGGGAAATTCCAAACGCGAAGAGACCGCCAGAAGCCATATAGAAAAATCTGAAGATATCACAAATGATGTTTGTCTGTAATCAAGGTTGAACCGAAAATGCTTTATTACAGCGGCTTTGGGCATTCCTGTCGTTCCAGAAGTGTAGATATAGCATAAAGGATCTGATCATTAGGTGTTTTGAGTAGGTGTTTGTTGTTTACCTTTGAACGTTTTGCAACTTTCACGAGTAGGCGGCCGACAAGATGAAGCCTGTACCTCTTTATCGATTGTTATCAATCCATTATTTTGTGAATTGGAGACAATAAAGTATCTGTTAGTCTCAATCGTAAGGAGATCCTGAACTTCTTGAACGTCTAAAAAAATGAGGGAAGCTGCTGAGAAGACACGAACTTGACCATAAGGTTGAACTACAGAAAACAGCCTTTGAATTGGAAGTTTTCAAAGTATGCTCCAAACAACTGCCTCGTAAGTTGGTGTTGATCCATGAAGAGATGACTCCAATCTTGAAGTATTATTTTATTGTTTTCATCATAAGAGAAAGTATAACCGGTTATAAACAATCTTTGTCGTTCTTGACAACTATTTTTCTAATTAAAGCAGAGAAAAGTTCAATCGAACGTCATTCAATGTCATTTACCTTAGAGCATCCTAACCATATCGCTATGAAATGTATCGAATTCTCCATTACAATTGCTATGACGTCATCTTCTTGAAGACCCTCTTTCTATAAATGAACTTATGAACGATTCGGAAGAGTTTCCTATATGTTTTTACTAAAAAGAAATTCGCGTACTGATTGCTTAGTTCATCGAGTTCTTTGAAAGTGAAGGATCGATCAATGGCTATGTCATGTATAGCAACCTGATACAGAGTAATCAGAGAAGATTATTATGTACGGAACAAACCTTATTTGGATGCTTCTTAACATTTTTCTCAAATATTCTATGAATCGGTTCATCTCTTCGAAAGGCAAAAAGACATCGTAAGCGAAGACGAATCACCACATACAATCCCCTTAAAGTCATGACAAGTGTTTTAAACTCTTTATTTTTACCTAATGTCTCGCAAACTTGTTCGCAGAAGTCGTAAAGTTCTTTTTATTCCATAAACAATCAGCAGAATTGTTATGCAAATTGCAAAAAACGCCGATAGGAGAGCTAAGAGTAGAATCCATGTTGTCATCCCCTCCTCTCTGAATATTTTAAAAATCACGTGCAAAATGGAGTAAAGTGTTAATTGCCAGACATTCAATAAATAAAAAATGAAAATGGAAGGACGAAGCACGCTGGACAGTAATGGCAAATGAAAGGTTTATGGAAATATTGGCAGCAAGTATAGTGTATAGTGAAAATGGGCAGAAAACGTGTTTCGGTTAGCACTGATGATGGTCATTCTATATAATTACTAATAAATAAGTTCAAAACAACAAAACAATCGATTGATCATATTTCTTGTTTGAAACTGTCACGTGTTTCAGTTTCTTCTCCAATCTCAGTTCTTCGTTTCAATCTTCGTTCTCTCTGCTTCACATGCCCGCAATTTTTGACACAGTTCACGTATTTCACGTGAAAACTGAATGACGCGGAGCTTTTCGCATTTTCAACGAACGGACATTGAGAATCGGTTGCTTTCTTTTGATCAAAATTGTTCTTTGAACATCTGCCAGTTTTTTGTGAAAGTTAAATGAGCAGATGTTCAGAATGAATCATAACACCTGTTCTACTAAAACGCCTTAAATGGATATATTCCGTTTGAGAGCTTATAGCTACTTGATTCCTTCATATAAGACTTGTTCCTTTCATGGAAGTAATTAACTTTCTGACTAAAGGTAAAAGCTATTATGATGTAATGGTATGTGTGTGTGTGTGTGGTGGTGATGTGTGTATGCGTGTGTGGCTGACGAAAACTTTCCTATTCTTCTATGTTCAGAAATAATATCAATTTAGCATATTCGCTAGAGATAATTGTATGATACGAATTATCTTATCGAATAAGCTGAATGGATTATTATGAATAAAGGTTTATATAGAATAAAACAATAAACAAATAAATTAATAAAGTTAAAGTTACAGCACATTTCTTGAGATCACCCAATTGACATCTACAACTATGAGTTAGAATGAACCTGTGAACAACGTAAAGCTTGAAAAGGGAGAGAGATAGATGAATAGAGAGAGTGAGAGAGAGAGTGAAAGATGAAAAATGGGATTATAAGGATATAGCAGCAACAAATCCTTAATTATAAGTTCTGAATAGGAATTAGTAAGGGCGAATGATCGTCACGACGATGAGTGTGTTGAGTATGAGTGAGACAATGGCTCGTATGAGTTGATGATCTCCTGAATATTTGTTTGCGAAGTCGATGATTGAGTAAAACATAGAAACACCAGTTGAAGGAACAATTTACATAAGGACAAATTGTTGAAAAAATTTGGAATATGCCGTAGGTGTATTCTTTCTGAAAGTAATATGATTAGTTGAATGCAACCGATCAGGTCGTGTTCAAAATGAAACTTGAATCTTTTTGTTCTGCGTGGCAATTTCACGTGACAAGATATTGTTTACGCGTTGGACGATATGCTAATTAGCTTAATTGAATAAAACTTACAGAAACTCCATTTTTCCAAATTCTGTGATCAATAATAGGTATGAGATTGATAAGCCAGAATGGTGTCCAACAAACGAAATGAAAAGCTGTTACATACAGTATGGATTTAGAAACCTTGAAAAATAATATTTGAGGAGAGTTTAACTAAACATAAGAATACCTTATGAACAAGCTTTGTCTTTGAGTTTCCACTCATCTGAGTCAATTGGTATCTCTTACTTAACATTCGAATAAGCATCACATAGCAGAATGTGACAATCAATCCCGGAATAACATATCCAAATATGAACATAAAAATTGTGAATAACTCTACCAGATGGTCGGGCATAGGAGAGACGCAACTGAAATGAAGTTGTTTTGCAATTTTTCAAAGCTGAATCTTCACATACGTGGTGACAAACTGAACACCAATATATCGACTATCATCAATCTGTGCATAAGTCATTATAGGATATAGAAGAACCAGAGCTATGATGAGACAAACATAAAAACCATAATTTGAACATCTTGAAGCTCCGCTCCGATTTGTGTCAACTGATTGACGGACAATCAAATATCTTTCTATCGCCTCAAATATTCTCTGTTTCAAACAATTTTTTTGTATAAGAAGCTTACCATTCCTGTCAAGATGTGGATTGAAAGAATCTTGTTCAACTGATCGACAGCCCAGAAGACTTTACACAGATATGCTCCAAACAACCATTCCCCGAAGTATATGTAAGGAATGAGCATAGTAATCATCGTCTGAAACATCATTTCCCCATTCAAACTTCAAAATATATCCAAAAGGACTCACAGTAACGATGAGATCGACTAAGGCAAGGAAAAGTACATATTTCTGAATGGGAATCCGATTACTTGTGTTTTTTCCATAAACGTGAACACATTCTCTTTGAGTCCTACGAAAGAAAATTCAAAATAAATGGGGATGACGTCAATGACGAACCTCAGCATGCGGTAGATGACAGTGATGTTTCCGAAAAAGCCGACAATAAAAAGAAAAATGAAAGATATTATAAGAATTGATATGACAACAGGCATTGCCGAAATGCCCAATATTAACTCTCCGTTATTCTCCGACCTTAAATGGAAATGAGAAGATGAAAGATTCATTCAACTTACAGAGAATCATTTCCGGACGGAGTGGAAAACTCGGTGAAATGTATTTGTAAAGTATTCCTTAATGAATTATTGATTATATTATTAAAATAAATTATTAATTTACCTTAATTCCGTCTCATTTACAATCTCCAAGTAATGGCCGTGCATTGCCGGAAACTGCGAATCTCTCTGCAAAGCCGACAAATGAAAGCAAAGGAAAGATGATGAAAAGCATCAAATTGCGAGAATATTTCAAAAAATAATAAAGAGGATTTTTGTGCAGCCCACTAATAGCCACAGATAGATAGAGAGAGGAAGAGTGTGAGGGTAATAATTCTTATAAAACTGAGAGAAAATATCTTCTTTCATCAGCTGAATGAAGAAGAAGCCGCTTTACAGTTGCGAGACAATCTTCTTCAAATATGGCAATTGTATAGTAAAAGGCAGATAAATATTAATGTTCGAAGATAAGAGAATCCAATTAAATGGCTTTTTTGCGTGAAAAAATTTAAAAGAAAAATGAAAAGTTGGAGATTTAAGTTAATGATTAGAGAAAGGGTGATCGAGAGAGGTAGAATGAGAGAGAGAGCGAAAGGGAGGGAGATGCAAACACACAGAGTCGAAATGAATCGGTGGGATAAGCTGAGCTGCCAGTGTGGTAAACATTAAATAAACATTTAAAAAACAACAAAAAAACATTTTACAAAGGGTTTATTATCATGTCGATGCTCATGTTTATTGGAACAGCTGATAGCCAGTGTAAGCCTTTTGACCGTTTCTTGAGTGTTTCGGTCAAAAATACGTACACCCAGATGTTGTTGGCCACTCAAATTACTGCAGCAACGCAAAAAACGACTATAAAGGTAGATGAGTGACCACAGAGTGAGTATTGAGAGGGTGAGAGAGAAATGAAGAAAAAGTGGGCGAGGGGATAGTTTATTGCCTGAGGCAGTTATATGAGATAAGAAAGAATGTATGTTATGAATATTCGATAAGAGTAAATAAGTTTTTGGATGTGAAAACAACGAACAATGCTTACAACATACCGAATAAGGTTGGATTAATTGAAAGTGTCTGTGAAGAGATTGACGTTCTCTAAAGGAAAAGCTCAATCCGGGTGTATGCTTCAAGAAAATGGGCTAATTTCCAAAAAAAAAAAGAAATGATCGGAAAAAGCAGGAAGACAATAGAATGAAATCTCTCTCTCTTTCACTTTTCTTCATTTCAAACACGTTTCAAATGAATATCTCATTATAGAAGGCATAGTAGGTTTGATTTCGAAGACAAATGGCCAATCTCACTCAAATACAAATTCATTAAGTTGAAAAAACTTTTAATTAATCTTTATTTTCTTATAGTTTATGAGCCAATTTGGCGGATTTAAAAGCTGTGGGTGAGCTGGCAATGTTTTATCTTTCAACAGAGCGGTGGGTTTTAAGAGACAAAAATGGAAAAATGAGGCTCTCAGTCGATGAAATGTCCGGAAATGGCTATCTGAAAGCTTAAATAAAAGAAATTGAACTAACCACAAATACAAATGTAATATGAGAAGTATAGGTAGAAACATTGAATAATTATAAGGAGAATAGTAAACTGACCAAATAGCCATTCACTCCTTATTACGAATATGAAGGTGATATGTCTCTCTCTCTATCTCCTTTTCTCTCTCTCTAACACACATATGCAAATTCATTTTTTGAAACAATGAATTGAAAGAAGAAGTCGAACATACAACATCTATATGCCATTTAAATGATTGTTTAACTAATAAAGAGGATCGAAAACGATTATAACAAGCAAAGGTGCGAAAACAAGTGTTGGAAGTGAAACATACAGACAGAGAGGCTATTTGGTCATCTGCTCTTTTATCTCTCTTTTTTTTCTCTTTTTGATAATAATTTTATTGCTTTTACCTAGTATTTGCATACGTGATAGATTCACGTCATTCACGTGGTAGCTGTCTCAGTTCATTCTTTTGCAGAAAACGAAGAAGAACGGTTGTGTCTATTATCTCTCTCACTTTCTCCACGCGCATCAACCATCTCTCCACACCATTCTTACTCCTCCCCACTCCTCTCTCCTTCCCAAACTACGTCAGACTTTTGCTTCGGAAATTTGGCTATTTTAAGCGAATTTCGTGTTGTTTTAACATTTCTTCAGAAAGAATTTGTACGTTTTAGTTCTTTCCATGTTTTTTTTTCCAAACGACCGAACAAGAGTTTATGAGAGAGGGAGGGAAAGTAAAGATAGACTAATGCTTGTCTTAAAACTTTCTTTTTTCATTCATTTCAAATATTTTTTCATCATTATTGTGTGTTTTTGAGAAGTTGGACTCATTTGGCTCACAGAGAGATAAAGAGAAAGATAGAGATGGATATATACAGAGAGAGAGAGAGGATAGATGTTCTAAAGGAATGAAAAGAAAGGAGAAAAAGAACGAATTGACATGTGATATCAGAAGAATTTGACCTCAATGTCTTCTTTCCAGCAACAGATTGTTTGATGAGAGATTAAGAAACTACCGAATGAACTTGTCAATAAAAATTTCTTTTTATCAGCTTTTCATCAAAAAAATGTCAAAAACAAAGAAAAGACTGAGCCAATGTCTGAGAATGTGTGAGCAATTGGATGAAAAGGTCACATTCAACCAATGTTTTCTGATGAAGTTATATAAAGACAACTCTCTGTTAACTTCCATGCTTATTAAGCTTGAGGCTAAGGAGCTCTGTTGTTTCAAATGAAGTTGATCGTTAACTTCGTTTCAGATTATCTCTGAAGCAGCTCATGTCTGTTTCGTAAATTCTTAAAACTGGAATGTTTCGAATTTCCAAGCGTACAGAAGCTAAAAATCAAAAAAAGATAGGAGAAGGAAGAGGAACAAGAATCCTGAGAGGCGAAAAGAAACAGAAGGAATGTGAGGAGTGGGGGGGGGGAGTGAGGTGTTCGAGAAGTAAACTAAGGCTTTATCAACACATCCTCGTCTACGTGAACTTACAAAGAATAGAAAACGATAATTGAAAAGAATTAAAAATATTCGAAAAAAAAATGATTTAATAGTCGACGAGGAAACTGAAATTACACAGCCGAATGTGGCCAAACGAAATTTCATTAAAGCTTGAACTCCGTCCATCAACAACCTCCAGAAGAGAAGTGAGAAATCCTTGGAGAAGAAGGAAGAGCTGACTAACAGAAAAGTGAGAAAAGCATTGTTTGGTAAATGAATGTAAAAACGAATGAATGAATGAATGCAAATGATAAATTGATTTCAATCAAACAGCCTGTGCTCTCAGTTGTACGTGGAATGTCAGATTGGTGCACCTTTTTGACCATTTATTGATGCTATTCGTTTTTATCAATTATAACAAAAACACTGGGCATCTTTAAGAGTCGAACCAGGTTTCATCTGCGTGGGTCGACATACTGATTGCTGCTTGGGAGCTCTAACTCTAACAGCGTCATGGGAATTTCAGAAAATTGTGTGCCACTGACCTGACCTTCATTTTCTTGAATTTTCCAAATAAGACAGATTTTTGATCAGTCAAGCATTGATTCTGTTTTGGTTAAAGAATAGGAAGTGTTGAAAGAGATTAAAAATGAAGAGACGGTCAGAAAGGTGCTTCAGTGTGCCAATAGACATACTGCTGCTCACGAAAAGTTATTTTGAGAGGAAGAAATTAAAAGGAAAAATTGCTTTTTTCGCTTACAAACCTTGTGAGAAATCAATTTATTTTGAAATAAAGTTTGGTTTTTGATTTAAATTGCAAGGGAATTGATATTAAAAAAAGAAGAAAAGAAGCCGTTAAAGTTCAAGAAACTTCAACAGGAGAAGAAGCGCGACGAAGCGGAAATAGTAATGAGCAAGTTGTTCTTTCACAAAGCAACATAAATCCAACATCCAAACATTCTTCTTTATTTTTTAAAAATAAAAAAAAGTAATATGATGGAGAGAGGAAGAGAAACAGAAAGAATGAATGAGCTGAAGCCATGGATATAGAAAAGGCGAATGAGGATTCACACGTACTTTATTCGGTCAAAGGGTCAGTTCGTTTCCTTCTTGCGCTCGAATTCAGTCGGACAATGGCGGAGACGAAGAATTGGATTGAGATAACGATGAACGAAAAAAAAAAGAAAAATAGTGTATAAAACAAAAAAATAAATCAATTTTTAGGCAAAAGAGATGTCAACCTGTCAATCTGTCTCTGAAATAACTTATATTCTTCATTTCTCTGAATGAAGCCCATCTCTAAAGAAAACAGTCAAGTTCATTATGTTTCCTCGTTCTGTTTCACTTCTTTTTCAAAAAAAAAACTTCAATTTTCATATTTTGGCAAAAAAAAGAGAGAATGGAAGGTTTAAAACGAAAAACGTATTTGTAGCTTTGGCGGACTATATGGTAGGAGGGAGGGAGATACAACCGTTCAATGCGAATACTTATTCAAAAATGAGAATGTTATAGACACGTGTGTTTTTCACGTAAGTTATGCTAATTAGAAGTTTAGTCTGAGTACATGTGGATGATGATGATGATGTTAGTGTAATCAAAATAGAGAATGACATATGATACGAGAAAAAAAGAAGTTTTTAGGAAACTTGTGTTTAAATTACGTAGTGAGAATAGCATGAAGGAGAGAAAAGGAAATATGAAACATTCTTCTTTCAAAAGTGATCGAATGGCCGTTGGAGAAGGCATTCCTTCGTCTTAACGACGCTTGAGGTGAAACCTGGCTCAGCAAAAAAAGGTTTTTCGCTTCATCTCAAATACAATTGAAAATCAGGAGATGTTGGAGAAGAAAGTCGGAAGACGGCGGGTTGGATGGGGGTGGAAGAAGCTCAATGTCACGTTGATATTGCCAAATTTCAGAGTTCGTAACATAATCACTCGTCTCTCAATCTCTCTTTCTCTCCATTTTTATATAACTGAGAGGGAGAGAGAAAGAGAGAGAGAGAGAGGGTGAAAGAAAGAGAGAGAGAAAGAAATGAAGAGAGAATAAGTGAGAGGCTATATGTGTTACTTTAAATGTCAGCGTTTTTTGAAATTCAAAGAGCTGTCTAGTAGCTAGCTACCAATAAAGCTTTGATTGTGAAGAAATCTGAAATGCTTTGAAGGGCAAAAAATTAAATTTAAAATCCGAGAAACGTAGGACTTCCAGATGACAAAACAATTGATAATTTGAGTGATATGGGTGAGAGAGGAGAATTTCCGTTTGCAAAAGAACAGGAAGAAAAGGGGAATAGAAATGGGCGACGTAGAGCTGACTGAGGTCGGAAAGACAGGACGTGCGTGAAGTGCGTGAATAAAAAATTCTTTTTGTTTCCTTTTTCAAACTGCAAAGACTGTTCTTGTACTTAAAAGATGAACTAATTCTAATAATTCGCTTATTTTTGAGATTTCTGATTAGAAATGGATGAATGAAGCTGAATGAAGCATTTGAATAGCCGATGGATGAGTTTTGTATAAAAATTATTTTTTATTTGAGTTTTTGTGTGATGACGTTGTACTTGAGAAGACGAAAAAGAAGAAGAAGGAGAAAATGGAGAAAACGGAGAACGTAAGGCTATTGGAGGAAGAAGAAGAACGAAATAAAAAATAGAAAAAGCCCTGAAGGCTTGTGATTGTGTTGTCAACATGAGTTTTTTAGGGATAAGAAAGCTTTTATTGCTTATACCTTCTTTCCGTTTTTGCTTCACTGTCTCACTATATGTCTCTCACACATACATACACTCTCTCCCTCTCTCTCGCCTATTCTCAGTTCTGTAAGTTGAAGAGAAACAGATTAGTATGTGGAAGTAACAAGAGAGATAGAGAGACTATTCTAAGAAGAAGTTTTTTTTGAATAACTCATAATGAAATTTGAATAAATCAAATTTGCCTAATATGTGCTTTTTCTGAAAATTAATGGAACTCACAGGAAATGCGAGACGGAAACGAAGTAAGCATAATACACAAAAAGTAGTTTTTTAATATTTTGCACGTGCAGGAGGTGGAGAGCTGGCTAGAGATGATTTGTGAGAGATAATTGAATGGTTCAGAGTTTCAATCAAAAGTGTTTTTGTTGTTTACGAGACTGTTGTTGCAGATGATTACATCTAGATTACTGTGTAAGGAGATTATTTAGTTTTAGAATAATAATATGAAAACATGTGTATGATTCAAGGAATTGCTAGATGTCTCAATGTGTGTGTGTGTGTGTGGGTAGGTACATGCATGCACATGTGTGTATACACGTACACATCCACCCATACATACATGTATGTACATAGACACATATCTAGGGAAGTTTATCACAATATTTCTGAAACAACAGATTTTCTTTGACTAAATGAAGAGTAAAAAAGGAATAGGAGAAGCTTAAGCAGGATAACAACCGGTTCCTTTCGGATGGCATTTGTTGACATGCCGTTGTCGTCGTCCTTCTGAGATAGACGATGAATCTCAGATTTCAGTCAATTTTTGGACAAAAAGCTTGAATAGTTACATACAAAATATGACCATATATAGTCATTGGAGAGTAATGAAGGAGCACGTGAAGGTTCTCAAGTTGGAAATAAGTAAGTCACAGCCCCTTTCTTCCAGCCCTTTATCTCTCTATCTCTCTCTCTGTCTCCCTATCTCTCTATCTCTCTTTTCAACTTGCAGGATCATGCTTAATGAGCTTTGAAGCTTATGTCTCGCATTTTTTTTCTTTCACACATAAGCTCTCTACTCTTCTTCTCTAACTTTGGACTTTCGTTCCTCCCACCTTTCACAAAAACTGTTTCCAAATTCGGCGTTTTTTTTCGTCGATTTGTCTGTTCTTTGAACATTCAGCAAACATTCACTTTTCATACAAAATTAGCGAATATGGATAAATTTAGTTTGTTTCGGATAAAGCAAAGAGATGAGAAGAAGAGGAAGAAGAAGCTCGTCGATGTCATATTACAGTACACTCGGGTTATATAAGGAATAATTAAGCATTATCTCCTATTATATGAAAGCTCTTAGTTAAATCATTTCCATTCATTATTCATTTTGGGCTGCAAACTAATCATCTTTGATAAGTTGAAAACACTTCATCATCATAAGCCTTTTCATTCAATGACTTTGTTATTTAGATATTCGCCTTTCTTTCTCTCCTTCTTTTTTTTTTCTCAAAAAGCCAACTGACCCAAATTACGTGAAATTCATTAACGTTGACGTTCTGCACTTCCTATGTTTTAGACAAATAAATATTTAACTGACGTGATAAAATAACCTTTTTTTTCTTTCAAAGTTTGTATGAAGCTGAACAACAGAAGCCTTACGAGCTCAGTCTTCAGCTCAGCTTTTGGCCTAACAACATAACGGATCATGAATTAGTTATGATCGTCCAGAATTTCAAGCACTAACCAATCGGCTGATGAACAAAAAACTCCTCCGCTTTTCCCTTCCTTTCATGAACGTCAAAAGAAAATTAAATACTCAAGAAGATATAAAAGGGAATAATGTTAAAGAGATCGGAATAGAACTCTTTTAATAACTAAAAGAATAGATGGGTAGAGGGATAAGAACACAACCGCTCACTCACATAACGAACAGCTCAAATGAAATATCAATTGTACGTGAAACGGCATACTATACGTGGCACTGGGAATGATTGAACGAAATTAAAAGAGGCAATGAAAACAGAAAATTTGACTGAAAGTTCGAAGCAAAAATAAATATTTTGTTGGTATTTTGAAGTAATGAGGTTTGTTTCGAAAAAAAGCTGCAACAGGAGCGGAAGTTGAAGCGGAAGTCGCTGTGAGAAGGTGTTAATTTCTCAAATGAATATAATATATATATATATATAGTGAGGGGTGGTAGGGAGAGCGGAATGGATTGTTTAAAAGCTGAAGACAGATGTGATGATGATGTAAGCTTGAAAGAATGCGGGGAGCCAACCAAGGAGATGATTTATATGTAATAAATATTTATATAATTAATATAATTCTTTTGTTAAATTAATGTACTTAATTTGTCTTTCATGCTTTGCCAAATGAAAAGTTGAAAAACAAATAAGGAGAAGCTTCATTTCAACTTAAAAGGGATAATTATAATAATTATACTTTCTAACTCTAAAAAACGTCCATTTGCTTACTCTGGCACTCTCTCACTTACTCATTCTCTATCACTTTCGTCTCATTTCAGATGTTTTTTTCCCTTCTGCCACAGCTCACTATTGGACTTTTAAGGCTTTGAACTGTCATTCTCAGTGTGGACGAACTATTTTGGATATGTTTCTGACTCTGACTTAGAGAGTAAAGGAGGCAAACTTCCGGTACCGATCATGCCCTCAAGTGGTTACAGCTAACAGCCCTCCCATTAGCATGTCAGTCATCTGGTTAATGAAGGGCTTCCAATGAAACTTCTGTACTTTAAGAAGTAATTGTTCCTTTAAATAATGAATAATTATAACATTAAAATATTCTTTGTTTTACTTTACTTTTTACCTCCGAACTTGGATGTGAAGAGATTAAGAGAGAGAGAGAGACGGAAAGACATAGAGAGAGAGGGTAAAACGGAAGGAGAGAATCGAGAGAAACAGACAAGAGAGGGAGAGAGAGAGATTGGAGCCGAACACGAAGATTTTACTTCTCGCATGCCACGACGGCGAGAAACCGCTTCAGGCTTAAGATTAAATGTGAGAAAGTCCTTTTGTGCCATTTATTGTTGATTAGGTGAAAAATCAATTAAACAGCCTATAAACATGCCGTTCTCTCTTTTTATTTAAAAAAATTTTTTTTTTGTTTTTTTTGTTTCAGTTCTTGTCGGCAACTCTACAACGTACATACTTTCGAGCATTCGGATGCCTTTGGGCATTTCGAAATTCACTTAATACTCTTCCAGTGTAAGCTAACTTCTAGAAGCCCATATATATGGCTGCTTCTGAAGAAATTTTAAGTCAAATGACATCTGACGGACACTTCTCAACCGACGTTATTTCAACTTCGTCGTCGTCAACTGCATTAGCAAAATCTGTTGACAAAGTCATTGTGACTATAACATGGATTTTAATGTTACTTACTTTCCCGTTTTCACTATTGTTTTGTCTGAAGATAGTTCACGAGTACAGAAGAATGGTTCTCTTCAAACTCTCTACTTCATCCTCTCTATATACGTTTTCAGGTTGTCTTCAGGTTAGGGAGAATTCGAGGTCGTCGTCCACTAGGACCAGGCATTGTTTTTGTTTTGCCTTTCATAGATGATCATGAAACTGTGGATTTGAGGTTCTGATTCGATTAGAGATATAACGGAAAGTTGTTCTGCTTAAGGACGATGTCTTATGACGTTCCCACTCAAGAAATGCTTACTCGAGATAGCGTTACTGTTAGTGTTGATGCTGCTGTGTATTATAGAACCAGGTAACCGGTTCCGGTATTCTATTTCAAGATCATGGTTGCAGAGATCCAATAGCTGCTTTATCGGCAGTAACTGATGCTCATCTGTCAACAAGACAACTAGCCCAAACAACGTTAAGAAACGTTCTGGGTACGAGAACTCTGGGTCAAATAATGATAGATAGGGAAGGAATTGCTGCTCAAGCGAAAATGATTCTCGATCAAGGTTTTGTAACACTTCGCTTCATCATTCTGTTATATCTCTCATAAATTTTAGTGACAGCTACATGGGGAATCCATGTGGAGAGAGTAGAAATTAAAGACATTCGACTTCCCAGAGAACTATGTCGAGCAATGGCAGCTGAAGCAGAAGCAGTTCGAGAAAGCGACGCTCGTGTTGTGTGTGCACAAGGAGAGCTCAATGTTGAATTTGTATCTAATTGATTTCTTAACAATCCAACATTCAGGCTTCTGTAGCTCTCCGTAAAGCAGCTGATGAACTGAGTGGATGCCCTACTGCTCTACAACTTAGGTTTGAAAAAAATAATATTTTTATAAACAGTTCAATTCAGGTACTTACATTCTCTCACAAAGATATCCGCTCACGATAATCATACTGTAGTTGTCCCTGTTCCATTTGAAGCTCTGCGCAAACTGATTCAAAGATTTCAAAAGAAGAAGTATTGAAAATAAATTTTTATCGAAATGACTAAAGATAGAGATACAACCATTCTTCGGCGATAATATGATAAAAGTATTTCTCACGGAAGATTCCACGTACACACTCACGTGAAAGTTCACGTCATTTTCTACTCGGGTCTTGCGTAAGTTAAGTATAGAAAGGTGGATGAGAAACAAACGTCTGGTGAGTGTTTTCATACGTCGGTAAAGCTTTAGGTTTCTCAAAATGGCTTTGAGGTGGGGACGATTCATTCCGAGCTCTTTTATGTTGAACATCTGAAAGTAAACATAACGTTAGCTGAGCTCCAATAGAGCGCATTACTTTCGGGTAGCATTCCAATGTCCAGACATCGTTTTAAACGACATGCTCGACATATCTTCCGATATCCTGTACCTGGAATGAAAAACAAAGTTGGAAAGAGAAAGAGAGAGAGAGAGGTTACCGTCTTTACTAGCATTATTACAACGTTGATTTCTTTTGCATGAGTACTGCTTATCATCACTAACAGTCCTTCGAAAGAAAGCTGCACATGCTGCGCATGTCCTGGCACCAAAATGAAGTCCGTTTGCCTGAGTGGCTTGACACACCTCAAATAATTTCAATGAGAAAAGCAGTCAAGAAAAGCTAAGAAAACCTGACAATGTAGAGGAACGCGTAATCCTGACGCACCAACCCCGTTCTTCTGGGGTATATTGGGTGGCTTCATTATAGGCTCAGACTGAATTAACCCATTCAGAAGATACAATGCTTGCATGCTTTACAGTACCTTTATGGAATTGTGTTGGGCGGAGTCAAGACTGGTCATTGGATAATGAAAGACGGGATTTATGTGGTTAATTAATAAATTTTCGGTATTCACACTGAAAATTGATCCATATGTAAGATGAGAAACCAAAGACAACCTCTGATTATTGTACATGCTTGTTTCAGGGTGAATATCCTTGTAAACCAAGTTTGAGTTAACGATGTTCTCATCCAATGGCAATGGCTCGAAATGGTAATCAATATCAGAGATTCCAAAATCTAGAAAGAAATAATAAGATTGTCAGCATGAGCACATTATACATACATGACGAAAATGGTAAGTTTGACAAGATATTAGGCTGATGAGGTATGGTGTTCGGATCGGGTATCCCGAAAGCTGGAGTTGGATGTAGCATTCCATCTCGAAAAGGTAGAGCAGATATATCTGACCTCAAAAGGTTTCCTGCATCTATGAATAAGATGTTTAACAACTGCAGAAACACTTTTACCAGTTGTAGATTGATGTGGGATTTGCGAAGACAGTTGAGATCCAACATGAAAAGGGAAATTGAAATCTACAGGACCAACAGGGGCTGTCAGGTTATTTGTAGAAGTCTGCGTATCAGGAAGAGACGAAGCAATCTGAAGATTAGAGGGTCGTTCCTGTCCATAGTTTGGAACCCAAATCTCTTCCATTCTGTAATATTAAAAGAGATTCATACATCCTAAAGAGAGAGAGAGAAAGAGAGAGAGAGAGAGAGAGAGAAGAAGAAGAAGATGTTCTAATTGAAGAAAGATCTCGACCTATCCTTATACAATATTGTCTGTTAACCGAAAGACAAATCTTTGTAGCTCTAAATGATTAAAAATAAAGTTTTTAAAATAATTTTTTTCTTTTTTAAATATGATTTAGACGAAATTGTGTGAGAAAGAATAATAAAAACGTTTCAGCATGGAAAAAAGAAAATTTCGTTCAAAAACGCCATCAGAGCTATAAGACGTCGTTTCATTTGGCAGTTTTCTCTAAATTTTCTTCAACTCGACTACAATCATACCTGATATGGGCATACGGTAAGCTATCGAGTTGTTCCTTCTTTTATCAATTATTACTATTATTTTTGCAATTTCGACAAATTTCAAGAGATTGAAAGGGAAATGATATGCAAATGAGGAAAAAAAGGAAAAAAAGGAGAAAAGGCTTACCTTTTGGCTTCTAACACCGAACGACTAACGGATATTTCTAAGATAGAAGCTATTTGCTAAAAATCATTTAAGGAAATCAATTATGAGATTAGTAATGTAATAGATATTTCCACCTTTAATCCAAGAAATACATTTTGGAAGCGAAGAAGCACACCATTTGACCTGGGTTACTGTAATTAGTTTGGCTTAACCTCATCTGCTCACTACTGACCCCTCTCACCTAATGTATTTCATAAACTTAATTGCCTTTTTAATTATTTTTTCCTTTTTTCTCAGATCTGAAATATTTAAAGATTTCTTTGCTTATCCTCTATGTGCTCTGTGAGCTGTCATATCTCTGCTTCGGTCAAATCCGGAAAAATGTTGACTTGTGTCTTTTTGCTATTTTTAAAAAGGAAAGATTCATATAAATAGTCTGAGGCTTGAGGTCAAATGCTTTTCCAAATATGTCTTCGAAGCTTTATCTCATTCTATACGTCTCAATTAGTTCTCTTTTATATACTGGTAAGTATGAATATTGATTGAAATATAAATGAATCTCAGATAGCCAGATAGCTCAGTCGATGCCTTGTTGTTTGGAATCTTTAGGAATCTCAGCCTGTTCGAAACTTAGAACTCACAAGCCATTATGGTTTCGCCAAAGGTTTGTTGTTGTTTCTTCTGCATGTTTGCAAGATATTTGCAAAGTTGGCTGTTTGTATGTGTTTTCAAAATGAAATTATTTTTATGTGTGAGACTGTAGCAGATTTTGCTTTGGTTCAATGTTGTCATTCGTGTAACACTGATGTACCAGTAGGAAACCTCATTACCACATTTCATTTACTCATCATTCCTTATTAAGAGTTTCGGACGAAAAGTATTTGCCAGAGGAGAGCAGAGCTCTGAATGCTATGATCGACATAATCCTGGTTTCTGTCGGAATTTTGTTGAAAAAGTGATCCAAACACATATACATGTTTGAAAGAAGTATGAATTGTATTTGTTTCAGAGAAACATGTGGACGAAAGAAGGACAAATGGGTTGCTCAGGTGATGGAGCGTCATTGGCGTTCCGAATTTGTCGCAAAACATGTGGTTACTGTAATGAAACATTATATCGAATGAACCTCTTTGATCCCATGTGTCCTGTCATAGGATAAGCATTTTTTTGATTCATCTTTTCCTTATGCTAATTTATTCCTATTAAGCTTAAGCTTTTCACAAGCTTATTCGATGATGTCCAAGCTTTAAGATTTTATAAAATATTTGAAAATATGTTTTCAACAATTACATTTCCCATCGCAAATATAATAAGTTCACGTACGCTTCACGTGAAATCATCTGACACGTCATTTTCAAAACAAATGACGCGAGATGCGGTTGTTCTGTCAGTGAAAACTTTTCATTAAATATTCATATATCTTCAGTAACAATCCAGAATAATCTCAAGAGCTTCTTCGAAACAAATTTCCAACAGAACAAGTCAATTTGAAACCCTTTCGTCTGAATAGAGAAAACTCTCCCTCTCTCTCCCTCTCTCGTAAGATCTCACAATATTTTATGTTGCTTATCTCTTATCCTATTCGTCATCTTCTTTTTCAATTCCATTTTTATTTTTTATTTGAATATTCTGAGACGACGACCATTTGATACCAGTTGTCAATACCCTTTCTTTCCCTCTGCCAAATCTATTTTACATATAAAACGCCAGAAAGTTATGCGAATTTCCCGAATTCTCAAACATATTCAGACAATTTCGTTCTTCAATTGAGTGTTTCTTCTTCTCTTTCACCTTCTAGCTTAATCTCACTGAACTTTCAAGCTTCAGGCTAACGACATCTCCAAGATTCCTCTTCTACTGCACCTTGGCATGCAAGCGTTTTTCAATCCTCTTTTCATAATTTTCTCAAATTCACTACCCTCTCTCACTATCTTCTTCTATTCCAGTCTTTCTCGTATTCATTTATTCGATTTCACATGTTATCCATCTGTTTTTTCTTTCTACTTTTCAACTTCTTCTACTTGTTTAATGTCTCTCTCTCTCTTTTTTCACAACTATGGTCCCAACAGGCCAGACTTCGTCAAACTCTTTATCCCACCCTCGCTGCTTCTGCCTAAGAATGATACATATGGGCTTCGACAAAGAAAACAAGGCAAAAGCGTCCAGCATTTCTTTAAGAACAGCTTCCTCACGCTTCTTTTGCCTCAGCTTTTTCTTTCATTTTTAGTTTCGCTTCCCCTCTCTCTTTGTTTTTTTCATCTGTTTGTCTCTCTTCCTTGCTTCTATCATACCCTCTTTATCTTTCTTCTCCTCTTTTGCCTTTTTTCATCATGTTCTAACAGCTGCATCTGCCGCCTATAGCAATTTCAGAAGCACAAAACGTCCGTACACATGCCAAGTGAGTACAAAATACAGAGAGAACAGAGACATTTTGGATAAAATTGAGAAGAAAAGAGATGAAGTAGGAAGGAAGGAAAGCAAGCAGAACCTCCACACGAAAATTTTCTGCAAGAACGAAACGCAATCTTGATATTCACACTTTACTTTGTTTTCATCATAAAAATAAAAAAAAAAGAAAAAAAGAGAAGAAAAAAGTCCCAGCTATTACTCATGTTTTCCTCACCTCAAGCTTCCCTATACCCTCGAGCGGAGAAAAAAGAATGAGAGCGAAAGGAAAAGATTGAAAAACGATAATTTTCAGTCTTTTCATAACTTCTTTTCCTAAACTTTGTTTAGCTGTGTGTCTCAACTGCTCAAATGCTGCTCCCGGTGCCAAAATGCAGCCCAGAGATGCGAATTACTTATACTGCGTACTTCCATCCGAGCCCTCGCTTTTTATGGAATTCAATTTTCGCGTACTTCGTGATTAAATTTTCCTCACTCTTGTACTGGCCTTTTCTCTTCCGAGCTTATTCTTTATGATTTCGTTTTATCATAATTCTTACTATCTAAGATTCATCTTGTACAACCTTCATCTGAATATCTGCTCATGTGTGCGTATGTGTTTTTTCATTTGAAGTATGTCCTCCTGAACCACATGTGCTTCGATTGATGAAGTTAATCTCATTAACCGCGCCAAACGCAATGGAGTATTCTCCAAACAGTTTTGCTTTCTTTCTTCCATTCCCTTTCTCTCTTTCTTTCTCTATCTCTCTCCCTTTCTCTCTTTCTTCCTCTCTCTCTGTCTATCTATGTCTGTTCTTCCACTTTTTTAGATTTTTATCCAAACGATGATTTAATAAAGTTTATTTCGTTTATGTGCATTCTCCTCCACTTGTTCTTCCTTTCGACTCGTAAAAAACGACTTTTCATGTTCTTCTACAGACACCACACATCTTGTAAAGGAATTACTGAAAAGGATGCCAATTGAAGCAATCTTCTGAATTTTCTCATTTCGAAGAAGACATCCGATTCTGTTTTGCATCTCATTTCATGCTTCCTCTCCCCTCCTCTATTCTTCTTTCTCTCTCTCTCCCTCTTTATTTCTCTCTATCACTCCTACAAACTTCTCTCTCTATTTTTGTCTTAGATTCCTCCAAAATTTCTTGAACCACGGTCTTTCCATTCTTTTTATATCGTTCTCGTAAATTCTTCGCCACTTGTTTTGCCTACTCTTATAAGGAATGCCCTTCCATTGTTCATTGCTTATTACGCGGTAAAGTCATTGCATTTTCCTCCGGAAGTTTTTTTTTGTCAAAAAAAAACAAAGAAAGACTAAGTTTGAACAAGAGATTCAGAATATCCTCCCTCAATTCCCGATAGAGAACAAAACGCAGACAGCAGCTGATGGAGCAGAGATGCCTCCAATCCGAAGTGCTGAAGTCTGTGAGCCCAAGTACTAAAACAAGCCATAACTATATTATAAAACTTCAACATTTCCTTCAAACCAAAAGCTATTACTACTATAATTTTCTTATATGAAGGATGAGCCGATAGAGAAAAGAAACGAAGGAGAGAAGGAGGGAGAGAGAGAGAGATACATGCACACATAGAGGGATTTCGTTATTTATTGAAAATGATGGTTTACTTTAACCATTCTAGTCATTACACTTAAACACAAAACTAATTTTTGTTAGTTTGAAATCAATTTTCCACGTACACTTCACGTAAATTAGATTACGTTTCTCTTTTCATTTTTCATGTTCGAACGCCAGAGAATGGTTGTGTTCTTTTCATCCAGCTTTCTCTCATTCATTTTTTGTCAGTCATCACACAGCCATTTTTGGTCATGCTACTTGTGCTTGTAGCTCTTACTATGCCAGATAGCTGTTATTTATGCGAACTTTCAGTGAAGAGAATATCGATTGTCACATTGGCGCCGCAACACAAACATTACTCGGCTGGGCTGCCCCTGAAGTCGACATATAGCTCACGACGACTATATGTCCGTGTTTTTGGTGTTTAAGCTATATGCTCTCCTATTTAGGCTTTATAACGGTGTTCTATTCATTCTTATTTTTTTATTTATTTTTCCTTAACGTTTGCTGACTTATGATTGCTGCCAAAAATTGTCCTGTTTTCGTCATTGCAGTCGTCGTCGTCATCTGACGATGACACTGATGGCCAACTGAGTTTGAATGTGTCCATCATATCATATGTCAGTCCGTTACCGATCACATCTTCAACTTGATAGAATACTCGTTTTCTTTTCTTCATCCCCTCTCTCTTCTCCTTTCTCTCTCTCCCTCTCTCTTAACCCTTCATCCACTCTTTCATAGCTCTTTTTTGTCTTTTTGCTATGCTGGAGGGATTGGATGGATCCGACCAAAGCCCTTCCGCTTCAGTCATTCTTCCGTTGTGATCCAAAATGAGCTCTTTAATGTAGCAACTAGCTACTCATCTCTTTCTTTTTCCCTCTCTTTCTCTCTTTCAAACCTCCCTCTCACTATTATATTCTTCTCTACCCCAAACAATCTTCAGATCTCCATATCGTTTCTTTTATTCTCCTATCACTTCGTCGTTGACATTGTCGTCATCATTACCAATCTCATCGAAACACAATCTCTCTGAACTTACAAACTCCTTTTTCATGAGGAAGAAGCTTTCTTTAATTTTCTGATTCTCAATTGCACATGTGCCGAACAGAGTCTTTCATTGATCATCCAGTAAGATCTTCTTCTTGATCACACAAACTCCGAAACCTCCCCGTATTCTTTCCAAATTCTAATTTTAGTAAGAGTTTTGATGTTTTTTTGAACTTTTTGTTGTGTTTGACTGTCGTTCAATTGAGTTCTTCTCCTATTTTTTTGACATGTAAGCTGGTTGTCGAAGCGGCGTTGATGAGTAATCAACCAAAAAAATAATTTTCTGCATCTATCGTTAACCTCCAGCAGGTAGTCAGAGATATTAGGAAATCAAAAATGAAGTGAAAAGCAAAAGAATAGGAAGATGAACGGAAGAAATAAGAGGTTGAAGAGCTGAAGAAGGAGACGAGAAGAAGCCAATTGAAATTCCAGAGTTTAGTGAAACGCCAGCGCCTTTCTCAGAGCAAAACCATCATGTCGGCTTCAATAAGCTTCTAAATTTTTTTGTTGATTGTATTTTGTTCCTTGCCAGAGAACAGCTTCTCAATACATTCTCTTTCACCTTATTTTTAGTGTGAAGGGAATGACAAAGAGCAATTCCCTCATGCCTCTCCTCTTCTATCAAACATAAATTATGTTTATTATAATGAAAAGTCGTTATTTTGAACGATAGTTCGATTAGAATAAAACATACAACAAAATGCTCTGTTAGGACATTGTTCTATTGCTGAATTTGGTCAATTGGATCGTGCCGAGACAAATTTTCGGCTTTACTCAGTCCTCAGGGGAAACAATCAGGAGTCTCTCTGCGGCAGACTACCCGCGACTGGCTATTCGGGATGACTCTCTCTCTCTCTATCTCTCTCTCTTTCTTTATCCATCTCTCTCTCTCTCTCCTCTTATTCATAGTTGTTCATCGTGTATGTGTTTGTCCTCTCTCATTCTCATTGTGTATCCGCCCTTCCTATTCCCTTATACTCACTCTTCATTCTCTTCATTCGCAACAGCATTGAAAGATACTGAAACAGCTTCTTCTGGAGGAGATCCAGATGAGGAACGGAATCCTAATTTGAAAAGTAGAAAACGAAACACACAGAGTGCTCACACAACCAAGCGGTTTGCTCTTGCCTGCTCATTTTAGACCCACAAGAGGCCTGTTTTTCTTTCTCTCTTCCCTCCACGGATTGTCCGTGGATTCATTTGATTTAATCCTCAAAACTATAATGAACTTCAAACCAAACTTTCTCTCCAGAGTTTGCAGTTCCTTGGGATGTTTCGTCAAGCCATTTCACTTCATTTTCGAAGCTTTGTCTAATCTCTTCTTAGAATTTTCTATAGAGGGAACTGAGGAAGCCTCATCACCGTATGGAATTACGAACTTTTCCATTAAGCTCTGACTTTTCCAGCTTTTCTCTTTGTGTCATTCGGCCTTCATATATTCACACTTGTGTTCATCGATTCTTCAGCGTGAGCAGTCGCCCCTTTGACGTCGTTGTCGTCAAGTCTTCGCTTCCTTTTTCTTCTTCTCTCCCTCTTTCCATCTCTCTCTGTGACTCTCTTATAAACATACAAATATTTCTCTTCATTCAATTGACTGCTATTCTCTGCTGGAATTGTGCTCTCTAGTCTGCGTCCATCCTTACATAGGCTGACTGGACGGGCTTGTCCGACTTGAAGCTCCATGGGTCCCCAACTATTGGACCCGTCTAGCTTTCTGCATGTCTGCTTCTGAATTATCTCTCATCCCTCTCGTTCTGGCATACAACATCTTCAGCAATCTTCTTAAAGCTTCTGCTCTCTCTGAAGCTTTAGCATGCTCATCTATGCTTACTCGTATACTCTCTCCTATTTCTAGCTGTTGCTTTTTTCTTTTCCGAGCCTGCCTTAATATCCTCGCTTTATCCATTTCTCTCACTTTCTTTCTCGCCATGTTACTCTCATCATCAGACAAACTCTCTCATTAAACTGTCCCTCTTTCCCCACCTCCCTCTTTCAGTTAGCCAACCCCGGGGCGCTCCGGCCACAAATCCATCCATCTAGACTCTTTTGCACAATGCTTTTAGTCCCAAGCCCAATTTCAGTCCACCCTTCCTCATCCCTTATACGTCTATACACAGAGAGAGAGATGTACATACGTGTAAGCGTACTGCATACAAATTTAATGCTTTCTATGTGAAACTAAGATTCAAATCATTCATTTATTTTCGTTCTTCCTCCTTACTCTGTCATCGTCTGTTAAATGGCTTATTTAAGCAATTTTAAGTCAACTATCGATTGTTTACTTGCAAATTGTTCAAAAATCTTAAACTTTGTCCGCCTTCCAGCCACTTCATGAGCTGTTCTTCTGAATGAGCATATATATAGAATTCTGCGCTCTTCTTGTACTTTTCTCACCTTTCGCATAGACAACCTGACATGCGTGTTCACTCCACAGACATCTTCACACTTTTCGTCCATTTTACGAAAATAATTTTACGCATTATGCTAATTCTTTTCTTATGAACTTCATAACTATTCTGTTCCTTATCATTCTAATCGATTGAACCATGTCAAGCTATCTCAAGCTTCTGCCTTTATCGTTGTTGTCATCATTGTTGTCGTTGTTGTTGTTGCCGTCCTCGTCGCCAACGCCAACACGGCCTTCTCCGTTGCATCCTCATTTGTTTTCTCTGCTTCTCAGGTTGTTCATTTATCCAAGTTCATTTTAACTTCTTCTCTCCCTATTAATTATCTATCTCATTAATTTTGAATACTTTGCCCGATTTCAAACACCTACTCTCTGGATTATGACCTTTTCTCTTCCTTTCATGTGTCTTGCATGTTCTTGAATTTATGTTCCGTATTAGGTATTCTTGAACGTCTTCACCTTTTCGCACCTTTCATTCTTCCATTTCACACGTGAATTTTGCAGTTGTTTCCCGTCGGGGACTTTATGTTCTGTGTGGGCGTCCCTCACTGACATGTGTGGACGTCCCCTCGTCTATGCGACTTCGACCGTCGCCTACACAACGTTCTCAGACTGAATCCCCGCCTACGCGCTCTATCTATCGACCACATCCTCGCATATTTAAGGTAATGATATTCCTCATCAGCTCATCATCTAATGGTTACCTAGGTTTCGCTTGTGGTATTCGTTTTCTCGCTGCTCGCGTGTGCGGCAGCGAGTGGACTGTCGTCTAGTCAGCAGCCTTGCTCATTTAGGTCAGAAATACAACAACATGTGGTACTCCAGTTTTCAATAATTTTCGAGCTAATCTATTGTTTCTAGTCAAAACGACTCAATTCATCCAAATCATCTTCGATGGAGCAATGTATCATCTGGGGTGAAGACAGCCCCCAAGAACTATGTTCGGTTGAACCGAACCAACGCGTACGCAAACTCCGATCCACTTTCCTCTTTTCTCAGATTCAGCCTCTGTCTTTATATGAGGTGAGATATGCACTTTTGAACTTTTGTAATTTCCGGAAAAATTATTTCATATCCGGAAATTTCCAATTCATTTCTGCTTGATCTAAAATCAAATAAGTTTAATAGTGTCGAGAATAACAGACAACCGTTCCTTCGAGAAGAATAAGAGAAAATGAAAGTTCGCATGTACGTGAAAGTATACGTGGAAAAGACTTTCACGCAAACTTTTGTCAGAAAGTTTATGTAAATCACAAATCTAAATAACTTAAGTGACTTTCCTAGACCAACCAATGTTTCAAGCTCAAATTTCACAAAAATTAGAAGAAGCACACTGACGAAGCGTCATTTGATCTCAATTTTGACTTTGGCTCTTCTTATATTCTTAATTGTCTGAGCTTGTTCTAGAAATTTTAGTTTCGGATTGAATTTGGTGTTCGATGATAGCTCGGCTTAAGCGGAAAAGGATGTTGAAGACTTTAGCTTGTAGGCTCAAGGTGGATGTTTGAAGAGAATGATGCTCGCACACTCCCGTCTACTTAAACCACTCTGCTAATCTTTTCACACATTCATTTGTGAAAACTACTAAGAGAGAAAATCGCATAGAGAGAAAGAACATTACCCATCTTGTGAGACAGAAAATATTTTCGTTTCTACTAGAATTCGATAGAGTTGAAACTCATTCCAGGACTCCAATAATAATCGCTGATTCAATTCTGATTTATTTTTTTTCAGGTTCTGGCGGCTGGCTCACGAGATGGTCGTTTACAAAGTGGTCTCCGTGTTGGTGAAAATGGTGTGGATTGTGTCACTGGGCGTGATACCGTTTGTCTCCGATGTTTTCAACATTTGGCTAATGGCTTGCGTCGTTTGGATGAAGCTTACCAATCATTTGATCAAGCTCTCCAAAGATTTGACTGTATGCCGGCCGTTGACACAGCAAGCGCCACGAGACCATTTTCACCAAATGGTTCCTGTAACACATGTCGGGTGAGTTATTCACTTTATCTTCTTGACTAGAGTGTATGATATCTGATTGATATATCAGAAATGAGTTTAAAACATGTTTTACGAAAGAAGTACTGGCAAGTTTATGAATTATCGTATGAAAGTAATTGTTTTTGAACAAAATTCTTTACGTTTGCCAGATGTGAGTCAGATTTAATATCTCGCGAATATTGTGTATTGGAACATGTAGTGGCTACTTATCTATCCAATATACCTTCAAATAAGAAAGCTGATTGTTTTTCAAGGACCGTCGGATACACGCGAAATGAAACAGATGCTGCTTGGCGATCGAAAAAAGAGTAATAAGATCGCGATTGAGTTTGAAAGTACAATTAAACTCAATAACACCTGCAATCATCTATTTGAGAAAATAATTCAGCTTGAACGCGGAAATTTGCATTTCCTTCATTCCCTTCATCATTTCCTCTTTACCCGCAAAAACTAAAAAAGAAACCTTAAGACAGCAATTGCACTTCAACCTACAATCTTACTCTCAATCAATATTTTGTCATTTCAGTCATGGTATCGACGTTGGTTACTTGTACAAACCATTAATATGTGGATATCGCCACCGTGCGTCAATTGGTGTTATTATGCTCAACTGGCTTGTCCACATCTGGCCACCTCCAAAGTGGTTGACTACGCCGGACACCCCTCTTTCCAATGCCGAGGTAAGCTTAGTGAGATCATCAAGGAAAATTGGGCATGAACTGTGTACCAGTACTAACAATCAAGACTGAAGTAAACAACCGTCCTCTTTTACTACATTTTTTAATATGCACGTATCACGTGAAATTCACGTAGCACGTGGCTTTACACGTCAGCGTTTTCCACGTATAGTTCACGTGGAATATTATTGAGTGTTGAGAAAGAAATAGAACTTTCAAAGTAAAATTGAAACAGAATCATAACGTTTTTCTGAAATTAATCAAATGAGTTTAATTTTCAGATCTTGAGATACCTTCACGAGAGCATTCCGAATCTCGCTGTGAATGCGTTCATCCCTGTGACTTGCGTGGAATGGTTCCAAACGCGGATGAGGAGGGCACGGGCGTACGACGGTCGGGGAGACGATCAGCTAAAGACCACGAGTTTGGTCTGCACGATTTCTATGCCTCACAGTCCCACTGTCGAGCTCGCGATCGCGAATGCGGCCGCTTAAGGACAACGGGCGATCGAACGACAGCACATGATAGGCGACAGCAGCGGCTCAAGACGCCGGCCAGCGGCGTAACATCATCTGCGGCTTCTAGCACATCGTCCACATGGTCATGGCCGTCCATACCGGTGGCCAAGTCCGTTGTAACTTCCATGGGTAGTGGCAGCGGGTTTAGGCTTGTCGATACTGTTGTCCGGCTGCCAACCGCCGGTCTTCTTGCTGCCTTTTGTTGTTTTCTTATCAATGCTGTGATATAAGTTTGATACCGGTCCTTCCAACTCATTTCTCTCACATTTTATGATTTTATTAAATTGTTTTTTTTTCCATTATCTTCGATCCTTTCAGAAAACTCTAAACTTCTAGCAGTTTGTTATTTGAAACTGCCTAAATACATTGTTACCTTGCCCCCTCCCCTTATTAGAGTATTCAAATTACACAAACTCGGTTCTTGCTCGAGCTTTAGATTGTAGCTTCTAAAAAATTGATTAAAATTATTGAAAGTCTAATTCACCTCATTTGTTAAAACTCAGATTTCTGTTTTTCTTATTTCCGTGGTTGTCAAATCCTTTCATGTAACAGCTCACTCTTCATGTTGTATTGTATTGCATTTGTATCCTATTTGATTAATTTAGCTTGATGTCCCAAACAAAACTCCAATTTAGGTAACATTCCATATAAGGGGTAAATGTATAAACATCTTCTACGTTCTACTATCTTTACAACTAAAAACCCTCATCTCGAAATCTGAAAACTTGAAAGACCTCTCCATCCGTGCTAAGCAGTGTCTGGAATTTTGCATCTCAAAACTTTCAAACACTTAGGACTTAAAATATTATTTCTTGCGAAGATTCAGAAACTGTGAAATGGAATGGAGTAAGAGCTCAATTGGAAAACCATGTCAGTCTATTAGATGACTATTATTAACTCGAGACACGGTTGTCGCCAAAGCATTGATCTCCGTATAGCGCTTGAGAGTTTTTGGTTAGTTCGTAACTAGACTATGGAGATCATGTACTGTCACATCCGTCCATAGTTATCCCTATCTCATTGTTACCTTGTATGTATCTCTGACATCAAATTTCTCTTTCTCTGCCAAATCATATTCTCATTATCTTTTGATTGTGAATATAAGGATTTTATCATTGAACTGTTTACTCTCATCATGCAGAACAAACAAAACTCCACAGGGTTCAGACACTTTACTTAAGTAATAAATAGAAAACTGAGACCTAGAAACGAGAGAAATAATTATGTTTACAAGAAAAAACATCTTCTCTATTGTGGCTTTACTCCTCCACGCATTGTGACGAACTCCTCGGAACTTGTAGGATGAATTGCAACACAATTGTCGAACTGAGCTTTAGTAGCTCCCATGGTAACAGCAACAGCAAATCCTTGCAACATTTCATCGGTTCCGAAACCGAGCACGTGAACTCCAACAACTTTCTCTTCTGGTCCAGCACATACAAGTTTCATGACACTTGGTTCTTTATGAGTTGTAACGGCATAGTACATAGGGTTGAACTTCGATTTGTACAAGGTGACATTGTCTTTGCCATACTTGGCGATGGCCTCAGCTGAAAATATCAGATGTAATGCTTATTGAGTTTGTCTTCTCAATTACCTTCAGTAAGACCAACAGTACCCACGAGAGGATGACTGAAAACAACAGTAGCGATGTTCTCATAATCAAGTTTTCTGTTAGTTTCTCCATTGAAGAGTCTGTGAGCAAGACGACGTCCGGCAGCAATGGCAACTAAAGGACATTTACAAAAGTCTAGTATAACACAAAACCTGGAGTCAGTAGGTATTTTCCGGTAGCGTCTCCAACACAGAGAATTCCATCCTTAGATGTGTGTTGATATTCATCGACAACAATATGTCCACCAGCATCGGTTTTCACACCGACTTTATCGAGGTTCAACTTTCCTGTTGAAGGGGTACGTCCAATAGCCCAAATCAGAGTTTCGACATCATCAATATCTCCGGTGTCAGTCTTAACTGTCAAAAGACCGTTTTCTTTCTTTATAACTTCCAAAACCTGAAACAATTGTTAAGTAAAGGAAAATAACTTGAAAGCGTACGTTAGTGTTTTTGTGAAGATTTAATGGCCCCTCGACGATGGCCTCGGTGAGAGAAGTGCTGAGAGTTTCATCGAATGTGCGGAGAACCTAAAAAAGAGAATGAAAACAGATCAAACGCTTTTTATCACCTTGTCGAATCGAATTAGGAGATGAGTATCAGATCCTAGATTGGCGAGAACACCAGCGATTTCTACGGCGATGTACCCAGCGCCAACAACAACAGTTCGCCTAACATATTTTGAAATTGAACAGTAGATATACAAACAACATACTTTGGAAGTTTCTCCAGATCGAAGAATCCATCACTATCGATTCCGTATTGAGCTCCAGAAACATTTGGAATAGTTGGGAAACCTGAAACTCTCAGCAGTTAGTCTTTAGAGCTAATTCGGCTTCTCTCGCCTCCAACTGCAATGAGTGTTTGCTTTCCTCTGTATTTCTTGCCATCAACAACAACATTTCCTTCATCATCGAAAGCTCCATATCCACGAATGAGTTCGACACTCGACTGTAAAACCAGTACAGGATAACGAAAAATGATTCAAACTAACTCCATTCAATCCGTTTTCGTATAAGCCGTTCAGTCTTCGAATGTATGCATCCCGAGTCTGCTTGATCTTACTGAAAGCAACAAAAATACAAACATATAAAAATTAAGAAGGCTCACCTCCAATCAAACTTATTCAAAGTAACATCAAAGCCATAGTCGGCATGATCACGAATGAACTCGGCGTGCATGGAACAATTGTACATTACCTTCTTTGGTACACATCCTACGTTGACCTAAGATTGAAATAAGCACGAATATATCATAATCATTACATACGCAGGTTCCCCCAAGACGTCCAGATTCGATAAGTCCAACGGAAACACCGAACTCACGAGCTCTACGAGCAGAAGCGATTCCACCGGAGCCTCCACCAATAACGAGATAATCGAACTCCTTGACGTCAGACATGCTTCTTAAAACAGTTTTTTTTCAGAAATTTTTAGTTAGAAATCAAAAAAAACAGTAACAAAAGCGTTTTATACATGAAAAATGATGATAAATCGGCTGATGCAAGAGAAGAGAAAAATCAAAAAGTTGCCCAGTCACTAAGCCAGTGAACGACAGTTCGCGCGCGAAATCAATCAGCAAATATGAAGCAGAGCGTGATAACATCCAACTAAGGGATATTTTCGGGGCTTCCTTCAGACAAAAGAAAATAATGGAAAGCAAATAAGGGTAGTGAGACGAACCTCACAAGATTTCGAGCCAAAGTCCGGACTGAACAGACTGTAGCGGTTTTTAGCATACGCCTGAAGTACATAGCAGGTCGTCCAACGCGTTTGAAACGGGTTGAGTCACCAGGTATTCATGGATGTATTGTACCAACAAGCAATCAAACAATAAGTGAATTGAAGTCTTTAATGATATATCACAGCGAGCTTCTTGCAAAACGAAATATATTATAACAACTCACACCCCAATGAGTAAAACTAGAAGCGACAATAAATACTTTAAATTATGGGTTACGTCAAACTTTTCCGGAAAAAATTTAGAAAATCAAAAATCGACCGACGAGTAAGATGAAACCGAAAACTCCCAACGAAACTGCAACTTTGAAGAACGTCGATCTGGAAACATTAGTTTGATTAATTCTGTAATACGAGAATTCGCGAACCTTCTATTAAGAGCTTTGGCATCTTCTCTATACTTCTTACTCAACCCCGACAAGTCAGTAGCGCGTGCTTCGAGTACTGGAAAGTTCAAGTGATAATCTACATGTCACAAGAATTACATACTATTTAAGGCTTCTCCCCTATGAATCACATCTTCGATATTGCTAACCATAATTCTAGCTACATCTTGTAATTCGTTCGACACAGCGGACATGGCATATCTACAAGTAACACATGGAACAATACTACTCACAGAATACCAACCTGCTTCGATCAGCATACTTCCGCTTGGCTTGTTGGATATATTGATCTGAAGACACAGAATCGTTATGTAAGAGAAAATGAAACAAAGAACTTACCAAATTCTAAGAAGTGATAAGGTCTAACCACTTGGTCGATGCGAGTTGCATTCTGATTTAAGAACTCCTGCGCAACGTCATCCAAATATGCGAAAGCCTGCTTTCGCGGGAAGTTCCTATCACACAAACACAAACAACAAACTGTTTGCTTAATTGTATAACTGCAAGAAGATAATCATCCAATAGTCTATGGTGTTAGAAATTACTGAAACATATAAGGCCCACTCTCCACTGATTGCATTTGAGGAGCATTTTGTAATTTTTTGAATAACATCTTAGCTTGATTGGAATATTTGACCAAGTTTGTGTCTCCCTGAAGAAGGAAAAGTAAGTTGCTTGTAATGTATCATTTTATTCACCCCTTCACCTCCTTCGATTGAGGTTGCCAAGATCAAACCATCACGAACTCTAGCAACGAGTGTTAACTCCATCTACAACAACAAATTATGAAAAAGCTCAGTTCTCTGTTGTGATAATAAAGAATGTAAATTGCGATTGTTAACCAAGTATCGATTGTATGAAACAAGCTTCCGAACAAAACTTTTACCGGTGTACGAGAATAATTTACAGAAGTTTGAATAGAACAATAATGAAATAAAAGGCAAAAGCTCCAACACGTCGAGTAAGGGAATTGCGCGAATTATATATCACGACATATTGCGTACAATAGCACAGGAATTGAAATAACCAAACTTTAAGTGATTATATAACAAGAATACTGTTTCACAGAACTTATAAGATTAATTTACAAAAATATAAAACTGATTCCATTTTACAGCTTATTCAAATTCTTCCGGATCTGCTTCTGATATGTCCGTCATATCTGAACTTGTATTTCGCAATGCATTAATACACGTAGCACACTCACCATCATCGCAGTCACTTTCTATTTTGAGTTTTACATTATTATGAAACTGGAAGACTAGATCAGCAAATTTCATTTTGGCTGAGATCTAAAAATAGAAACGATTACAATATGACGAAGCTTATCAAAGACACCATTTCTACATCTTTCGATTTAGCATCCGCGTTAGTTATGTTATTGAGACTCTAAATGTATTTTTTAATGATATCTGGGACTAATAACTTCTATACCTCTTGATTCATACAGCTAGTTGATACATCCTCGGTTACCTTATTCTAAAAATATCTGATGTGTTCGTCTATCTATGTATTGGAACTCACTTTATGTACATCCGATGGGGCGTTAGTGCCAGACGAAGAACACCGAGATACTTTCACCACTGGAGAACAGCTTTCAGTTGGCTCCTGCACAAAACAAATAATATTTACAGAGAACGTTTTCTACTAACAGTCTTTCTTTTCGTCAATCTTCTTGAAGCTACTTTAGGGTTGCTGAAAATGAAAATGAAACATGGAATGCGGTGTGGGGGTTGGTTGCTTTACTTAATCTTCCTTTCGACCAGTTTAGCTCCTTTTCTCTTGAGCTGGACCAAGGGGACCCAGTCATCATCAGAACCATCATCCCTCATCACATCATCGTCATCAGCGAAATCGAATGATTCTGAATTTAGAGAAATAAACCTGGCTGTATTTGATGATGATGACAACCTGAATCTGAAGAGTCCGATAAAAACAGACGATTATAGTAAGCGAAAGAGTTATCCCTGTACTTTTCTGAGAAGCCAGAATCATTATTCCTGAAAGCATGATAATCAAAAACACGAGTTGAGCATCAAACTTGCGTTTTCTGAGCTTCATTTCTTGTGGTATTCTTCGGAGTAGCTTCTTCAAACGGATCAGCAGATCGGAATAAGGATCGTCTGAAGCAACTTTTAGATAGCAAAACACTTAACGATTACCTGATCTTGTTGATATTGGGAGACTCATCTACCCCTCCCAAACGAGCTCTGGTAACCACAGTACCCGAAGGCAGATGAACATAGGTAGCATTTTCTCTTGGGACATGTGATAAAAGATTTACATTCTCTTGAATCTTAAATGGATTGTTAAAAGATTGAAAGATAATGAGCTACCTGTTTCTCGTTGAAGATGTCGAAAGAAGTTCTAACGGGAGACGTCATTTTCATCATTATTTAGTTAATAAAATTCTAATTTAAAAAAAAAAACTACAAAAAGCTGTGAAGTAAGTCCAGCTACTCCTCCGAGAAGTTCAAAACATATACTTATAAGAATTGAGTTATTTCTTTAAAAGACCAATTATGAAAACCTTTAAGGAAACTATTTGGTTGTCACTGTGATATTACCGTAGCACTGAAAATGAGTAGTGTTAGTGATATCAATAGCGTAGCTTAGGATAAAGATTTGAAGTCCTGGGAATTCTCAGAACAGGTTCACAAGGATTCTCAAGCTTTGTAACTAGTGGTTAACAGACGGTTTTGACACAGATTGCAAAATAATAAAAACTCTGAGAGCCCATTATGCACTCGTAAAAGAACTCATAAGTGCACAGGTAGAGTATTGTCATATGTGTTATATTATTATTTTCAAATAAGTACTCACCCGTTGGTAATATTTAGTTGATGGAACTTTACAGCTATGTGAGTTTAACATTTCACGTGGATTCGTTTCCACGGGAATCACACGTGAAGCCCACGCACAAAGTACACGTATGTTAAATTTGAATTTATTTTGAGTCGACATGGAAGCTGATGCGGTTGGTAATCATGGATCTTCCAATCCAACTACGACTGTTACGATCTCAAATGAAACGGTATGTTGATTTTACTTCTATTTTGTGATTGTTTTTGAAATACTGCTTTGAAGAGACCGGCAACACAAGAAAGAAATGAACTTGTGTTACGTTTGCGATCTGTGCCAGAGGAGTCACCGCGGGTCACATTCGCCAGCACTGTTGTTGGTATGTGTCTAGATTTCGAAATTGGTTATTTATCTTTTTTAGATAATGAACACCTTGGGCGTTTGAAATCTAATTGTTGCTGCATTTACGTGAAGCCGCGGATTTGGGATGATCCATCAACGTGGGAACAAGATGAACAAGAGGTGAGTAATGAATGGTCCACGCTTTTTATTATATTTCCTATCAGACAGAACACTGTCGTGGACACACACTGCCTGAACCAAATGAAAAGAATAAGAACGATGGGTCTCAATGATTCGAGTCTGAGCTAGGTAGTCTTGCATGAATTCATCTTTAAAGAAATGTCTTTGATTTCTTCTTCTCATTCCTTTCAATCAGCCTGTTTTTCCTTGTCTCTCGTTCATTTTCATTTGTGATATGTGAACCATGAAAGTATATTGGTAATGATAAGCTGTCTATCAATAACTAAGTATAGAATCATTGCAATAAAGCAGCGCTGCTCTACTTCCATATTTAAGTATTCTTTAGAAGTTAAGTCTTATGTAAATGTTATAACCTTCTATGAAATCTTAAGATGTCTTGCTATAACATATAACTCCTTATTCATCTGCTTTATATCGATCGATCCTTTGATGTTATTTTTTTTATGTGTACACTCTTCTTCTGTGGCAAGCCATCAGGTATATTTGTTCAACCTCGCCAATGTCTTCTCATAACACGACCCTCATTCGTTCGAGTTTCACCATCTCGTTAATGTGTCTGACCTGTGTTTTATTTTTTAATTCTGGCAGATGGTTTGATAATGAATTCTAATTTATCTTATCTGGTTTTTTTCTATTGTTCATATCAGTGATTTCTTCCAATTTAATCGCAGAACGTGCACAAATCGTTCTCATTGAATAACAACAACGCTCAGTCTCTTTCAGATGAAATACCTTTTGGTTTCATTTCTTATTCTTCTTCACTTCACATCTGTTAAATCAGAGACGAAGGAACAGAAGAAGGGTCCGATTGCTTCAACACCTTATGGAGATATTGAAGGATTTGTCTACAGAACTCATAACGATGTTGATGTTAACGTCTTTCTCGGAGTGCGGTATGGAAGAGCTCCGGACCATATACATCGCTTCGAAGTTTGTCATACTGTTATTTTTCAAATCGTATGTTATTTGTTTCAGAAGCCTGAAATGGTAGAGAAATGGAATGGTTTGCTACATCATGCCAAAAGATATAAAGCATCTTGTATTCCTTTCCATAGAGATGCTCTCATGAGAGAGAACTATTCGGAAGACTGTCTCTTCTTGAACATTGTAACTCCGAAGAACATGAATGTAAGTAACTCACCATACCAACGGATTATGTCAATGACAAGTTTAGCCAGAAAAGAAATACCCAGTCTTCGTATTTGTTCATGGAGGAGGCTATGAAATCGGTGATACTGAGATGATCGGATACAAAAACGCTTCTGCCAACTTTGTAACTAAAGATATAATTTTTGTGTCTGTTCAATACCGTTTGGGACCATTAGGTAGAGCATTTGACCTCTTAATCTGTATGTTTTGGGTTTTAGGGTTCTTAACGACTGGGACAAAGGTTAACAAAGGAAACCTTGGCTTGTGGGATCTTACTCTCTCTTTGCTTTTCCTTAATGAGGTAATTTTTTCAATCTGGTACATATATCCAATTTGTGGTTACAGGTTATTCCATCTTTCGGAGGTGATCCGAACCAAATAACTTTAGGTGGACACTCAGCTGGAGCCGCTGCCGTATCTGCTCTTATGTTCTCTCCACATTCTGACCGTATTTATCCCTTTCTATTTGCATATGCAGAATTCGTTTTCTATTACAGATTTGTTCAATCAAGCTGTTGAAATGTCTGGATCCGTGTTTTGTGAATTCTCAATGAGTGAATCAGTTGTAGAAGGTAAGTGAGAAAAAATGAACAACCGGTCATCGCGCCAACATTGGTATAAATGAATTTCACCAACATGTACCTAATGAAAAACATGAGTGCAACATAGAAGATGGTAACTGTTCCTCTTACCTCACCGATTATTTTCCAGAGAGCAAAGCTCTGATTGATGCTGTTGGTTGTACAGATGCATCTGAAGAGAAGGTTCATGACTGTTTGAAAGAGAGAACCGTCGATGAGTTACTGGATGGCGTGGAGAAAATTGTTTGTGAAATCTTTTCTTCAGGAAAAAATATGGAATTTCAGGGATCAAGCAGGCGTCACATCAATTTTATTAAATTCCATCCACACTTCGACAACGATTTCTTCTCATTCTCTCCTGATAATATGGCGCGAAAAGCCCCACCTAAAAAAACAATGCAAGGAGTAACCAGCTTGGAATCTGGCCTTTTCAGTAAGTTCCCAACTCGAAGATGAAACGCAGTCTTTATTTTGAGGTGCTGTATCTGGAATCGAGTATGTAGCTGATTTGCTCATAAAAGAGTCACGTTGGACGAACTTCACTCGGGAAGAAGTTTTAGAATTCATGACTAGCGCAGGTAGATTATCTGTTTAGTGTTCCGATGAGTTATAGTGTTGGTTTCAGTTGCAACTGAAAAAGAGCACGGAAGGAAGATGGGTCCATTTCTGCAACTCGTAACTGAGTTCTACCTTGGAGAGGAAGATGCTGATAAAGATTCCACTTTTTATTTGCAAAAATATACTGAAGTGAGGAGCTTTTTCAAAATTAGAGAAAAAAGTATTTTCAGTTACTGAGTGATCTACAATTCTTCATTCCTTCCTACCACGAGATTGATTTGAAGCGAATGTTAGGATGGGAAACATATTACTATGTTATCGATCATATAAGTGATACCTTCAATCATAAAACTCCTCTGAAAGGTACTTGTGATGTGTTGATCTCATCTCTAATACTCTTCTAGGCACTTTCCATGGACATGAACTCCGCTTTCTGCTTAGCTTCTTGGACACTGAACTTATTCCATTATCAGATAATGATAAGAAGTTTCAAGATGCCTTCCTTGGTGCTTCAATTAACTTTATTAAAACTGGGTAAGTATTCTAATGCTTGTCAAAATGAGCTTTCACTTCTAGTAATCCATCAACGAAACAACTTAAATGGCCCCCCGTAAGTAAGGAAGCTCCTAGTTTACACTTGCGTCTAAACGAAAACTCTTCCATTCAAAAGTCTTTCAGATCCGAGGTCAGTTATTTTAAAACTTCATCGAAGCATGTTTTATGTTTTAGGCGATCAAATTGTGGTTGGAAGTAATTCCGAAACAAATAGGAACAGACATATTGAAACAGAACCGGTTACCAGCTGCTCATGCTCATACCAAACACACTGAGTTATAAGATACTAGTGACTCTAATCATCAGTGATGAACAGTTTGTGTAAAATTATATTTATTTTTGAACTTACGTGCTAAATATATTGTTTGTCGAAGTAGTGTTCCAACTAACCTTTAATGAAAATGATTCTCCTAGGTCACAATACAATAGCCACACGACAAACATGAAGCAATGAATCAGTATGACGTGAAAATTATAAATCATTTCAATCATTGAACAACATAATCGAAACTGATAGAGAGGGAGAAGAGAGAGCATGACCAGAACTTCTTTCGTAAACAGCAAATGTATAAAGTATTATTCACCTGTCTTTCCTATATGAATTTAACTATTCCTCCCACTCTCGTGCTGTTTTTAAAGATTAACCTGATAAGCACTTCTGTCTTCGTATTACTTTCCATAGATACCGAGTATGGAGAAAAGTATTTTAATCACTAACTATACGAAATTGACACTGTTGAGAGAGCTTTTGCAAGAAACATTCGAATCGGGAAAGTTCAGTAATGTGTTCTAACCTCGCAGAGAGAGTCCACAAGATTATTTTGGAAACGTTCTATACTCCTATGTATAAGTATATACACATATAGCTATATATATATATATATATATATATATATATATATA